ATACGTCAGTTGATTCTGCCAGTTGTTTTGCAAAATACTGCTTCACTTTAGTTTTGAATGAGAAAGTGTTGGTCGCCATCCTGACCTCGAGAGGAAGGTCATTCCAGAGAATAAAAGACCACAATAAAGGATGAGCCAACAAACTCAGTCGTGTAGGGGGACAACGAAGAAGAAGGTTGTTAGAGGACCGAAGGTTTCTGTCGTGATTACTACATAAAAGTTGGAACTAGGAGTTTAAATATTTTGGCGAAGATGGGTTGTTTAAGATAGAGTATAAGACAGTGAGAGCTCGTAGTTTTCGGCGTAGACGAATTGGTAGTCAATTTAGCTGCGAACGGAAAGCGGATACATGATCAAATTTACGGAGATTGTAAACAAATCGAATGCAGTTATTAAGAAGACGGTCTAATTTATCGAGAAGATCTGCATTCAGGTCATAACAGCACACGTCACCATAGTCGATTAAGGGGAAGATAAGGGATTGCACAAGCATGGTCTTGGTTTTTGTGGGTAGGAAATTTCTCAGACGATACAGAGCCCGAAGTGTTCCATTAACCCTCTGGCACCAATTTGCAACTTGCTCACGCCAGTTTAATATGCAATCAAGGTGTAGACCAAGATCTTTCACCGATTCACAAAGAGGTATGGTAGTACCGTTAAAAATGATAGCCGGAAAAGACCCAATGTCTACTCTGGTCATCAATCGGTGACTTCCAACTTCAATGGCTTGACATTTTTTGGGGTTTACGGTTAAACCAAACCTATTAGACCACACATAGATTGTTTCCAGGTCTCTGTTGACCATGTATATGGAGGATATTCCGATAACCATAGCTATCGGAATGTCCTCAACCTTGCTCTGCGAATAGAGTTGAAGGTCATCAGCATACAGATGATACGCACAATGTTGAGAACCATTCCAGTGCTTCAGGCGAGATCACGAGATAGGAAAGGGTTGATAAGAGGATATCGTGATTGACGATATTGAAGGCCTTTGAGAAGTCGATCAGGACCAAAACAGTAACCTTGTGTCCTCCATACCCGCCCTCATATCGACAGTCACTTTAAAGAGAGCGGAAGTAGTGCTATGACCAAGCCTGAAGCCAGATTGCAACGGGCTCAAAAGGTTGTTTTTATATACGAATTCAGAAAACTGTTTGAGCACACAGGATTCTAGAACCTTAGAGAGGAAGGGGAGAATTGATATTGGTCTGAAATGGTTGGGAGGTGTGGGATTTGCTATTTTAGGTTGGGGAATGACACAAGCTTTTGCGCCAAAATGTTGGGAAAATTCCGGAATCTAAGGATTAGTTGATGATGTTGGTGATTACTGGAAGATGTGGTCAAGGATTGTTGTGATCATGCGTCGACAACCAACAGCATTAGATTTGATAGAGAATATTATCTTCTTGATCTCACTCGACACAACCGGAGAAAATTTGAAGGGATTTATGTTAGGGCTATTAAGACTCGCCAGGTAGTCAACAGTACGATACTTGACCTGGGGATCCAAACAAACAGAGGAAGAGAAATGACGGTTTATTTCATCCAAACGCTGGATCGCTGCTTACCGATACCTAGAGTTCCGAGAAACTTCCAGATATTGGGGGTGGGGGATTAACGGGAGATGTTATCAAAAATGTGTCGGAGTTTGGCGTTATGTATCATCTGATTGCAAAGATTTCTCGCGGTTTTGTACAAGGAGCGCTTTCCTCGGTACGATTCCTTCTGAATTTACAGAAGGCCCTATCTCTTCGTCGCATAGCCAAGAGCACCTCCTTAGTCATCCAGAGAGCAGGTTGCCTCTTAAGTTTAATTTTTTTGATAGGTTGATAGGTGCGTGGACATCATACAGAGCGAGAATTGCGTGATTAAAGCAATTCAGTTTTTCGTCTACGTCTACTGTAACCGACGTCACTACGTCCCAATTCAGATTGGAGGCATCCCTATGCAGTTTGTCGACCTCCATACGAGCAAAACAACGCATGTGCAAAATTTTTGGTTGGAGTTTAGGTGGTTTGTTTTGTTTTTTGTTTTTTTTTTGTTTTTTTTAAAAAAACAACTCCCGCATTAGGAATAAATCCTGTGTCGCGGGGGACTTTACAAACATACATGAAACGGACACAAAGAACACCCAGACTCAGAACAACAATTTGTGGATCACACAAAGTGTCGTCCCATGTGGGGTTTGAACCCACAACACTCGGCGTAGTAGGAAGCGGCGTGGCGACCGCTTAAACCACTACGCCATCCGTGCAGTCACATATGAGAGGAAGATAAGGTCATGATTGGAGAATGCCGGTGCTTCAAGTTAACCGTGGTTACGAGCAATCGTTGCGGCCGACATTAGTATCAAATCTAACCAAGTGTCTACCCCTAAGCTGTTCTGATAAGTTGGTTGTAGGGTAAGATCTGCATACCGGCAGACTCAACAATCTGAAGGAGTTTACAGGAGCGTGAGGTACGGTGAGTTAGGTGTGTATTAAAATCTCCCATGATGACGTGGTGAGCATATGAAGACTCTAAAGATTCCAGAACTGTTTCCAGACTGGAGAAGCAATCTATCGAAGGAGGACAATACACAGCCCCAGGACCATTTTGGTTCCTCTTACAGAGACTTCTAGAAATAAAAAAGGGGGAGAAGAAGCCAGAATTTAAAAGGAAGGGAACTATGTATATAAATAGCAACTCCGCCCCCCCTCCTGCCGACTCATTTCGGACAAGAATATAGTCTGCAAGAGGATAGAAAGTAGAAAGAAGATTGGGCTTGAGCCAACTCTCCGATATCAGGATGGCATGAATATTTGTGTCACTAAAGGCCTCTGTCAAGTCGCTAAAGTGACTAGGTAAGCTCTGTACGTTAAGGTGGCATACATTAAGCAGGTGCTCCGAATTACGGTTGAAAGCAGATCGTAAGCGTTCACCTAATGTATCATTTAAGGAGACATAACTATCATCACCAGTGGATAGAGCAGACTCATAAGCAGTATTATTAGAATCATTATCATCAGTAATCATAGGTTTTAAACATGAACAATAAAATAAACAATAAAATTGCAAAAACTATATAAGTAAATAAATAAAAATATAATAGTATATACAATATTTCTAAATACTAATACTCTGCACCAGCCAACACCACACAAAGTTAAATTAAAACAAAACTTTAAAACAGTGTTAGTGTAAGCATAGTGAAAATAATACGTCTATGTTAGTGATGCATTTCTGAACGTAACCCGCCGGACAAATGTCATTATATCAATGTCAAGTTTAATGTTGACAAGATGTGTTGATGTTATTACATAAACAATTATGGGTAATATATATGCGTGACAAAGCTAAAAATATGTTAAAATAACTGTATTGTTTACCTGCCAGTCATTCAACGACTTATATGCAGAAAAATGTTAAGTGAACATCGATAAGATGGATTTATAAACGTAAATTTATGCCTGATAAATTATATTTTGACCGGACTTTTCTTGTGCGGGCCAGGAGGGATATTTTTCTATGGGACTATCACTTCTACTATGGGATCCTGCTGCATGAGGAGCTTTTGGATGCTTCGCCATCAGGTCCGACAGTGCCTCAATAGTAGTGATCTTAAGCCGGTTGCCGTCACTGACCTTAATTATTATTGTGCCGTCCTGCGTCCAACATGCACGGGTAACGAAATGATGCCGGGCTTTGGCAAATACTGTTTGTCTTGCTTTAGTGAGGAATTCACGGATAGAAACGGTCGAGCCCTTGAGTGCAGTCTTAGCCCTCCAAACAGCTGACCGGAGTTCCGAGCTTCGAAACCTCATCAAGATGGGCCGGTGATGATCTGAATTGGGTGTCCCAAGCCTGTGACAGACGGTGAACGACTCTGCAGAGTATGTCTTCAGTTGCAGCTTGTTGTTGACAATATCAATTGCAACTCTGCCACAGTCCTCACTCTCCGACTCTGCAACCCCCATGAGTAAAAGTGCCTTTCGACGATGCCTTGTGTCAATAGCGTCAACAGCTTGAGAGCATTCACTTATCTGCGTCCGTAACAGTCCCAACATACTGTCTATCAATTCGCGGAAGGAGCGAAACCCCTCAGCAATTTTTGCAACTGTGTCCTTTGAGGTGCCCGTGCATTGAAGCTGTGACTCCAAATCCACTATTCGTTTTGCAAAGCACTCCTCCAGAGATTTTTGAGCAGCTTCAATGTTCACTAACTGCGACATGTTGTTGGGTAGTATAGTGCTGGTAGGTGGTGATTATCAATTGTCTAAGATCAAATATCACTTATAGCAAATCTTAAGTAAAAGTACTTAAGAGAGTGCATTATTTTTTTAATTGCAACTTCTACACTTCTTTCCTTTTACTTTTCTTCTTATTTCTTCTCATATATCTCTGCACAGCTGTGTATATAAGTATGGGGAAAAACAAAGAAATAAAAATAAAAAACATAAGTAATAATAAACTTTAAACCAACCCTCATATTAATGACTTAAAAGTTTGCATATTAATAAGGTATTCATTATATTTAAGAAATGAGGAAAAACTACATGAATAGTATAAAAATAAATTAATTAATGTTTCAGATTGTTCAGCGTAGCAATGTCTTATTGTGTAAGTCAGTTGCGAATAAACACTTGAAGCTAACACACGTTGTTTCCTTGTAATAATTGTGAAGGTTGTAACAACGTTCATAGTGGCCTGCACCAAGCCGGATTGTGAATTACAGCCGGATTGTGAATTACGGCCGACCAATACGTGTAAACAATAGAATTCTTGGAAGCGGTCGGCCGGCGCCTATACCTGCGCCTATTCATTTAAGCTAAGAGATTTAAACAAATGACTTCAAATAAGTTCTATTCAAAAGAATAACACAGTGACAACACGAACGATTTGCCCTTATTTTGGGCTATTTACAGTGAAATTTGACTTTTTACACTACTAATTCGTGTTTGTAAATATATAAACTGTAAAGTGGTGTGATTTTTACGTGTAAATACCGTAGAATAATCATGGCAGAAGCCAAAGAACTGATCATTAAATTAGAAGACATTTTTATTCGTATCTCTAAGATCCGCGATAATATTAAGAAGTGTCCTAAGGCGAGGCTAACGAGGGGTTATTTAGAAACGAAGTTGCAGAGTCTCGAAGAGTATTCCTATAAAACCGTTAATGGGAGTTTATCGAAAATTGTGTCACGCGACGATCGAAAACAATTCGAGTATTTTAGCCAAGATGTTTATGGGAGTTGTGAGGACAAATACGCTGACACGAAGGCTAACATTTTAGATTTAATGGGACCCGTACTGTCACAGTCACCAGTAACGAAGGAAAGTGTATCACCCCAAGTTAAATTGTCTAGAATTCAACTACCTACGTTCTCAGGTAGTTATGAAGATTGGCCAGCGTTTAAAAATTTATTTAAGTCGCTCGTTCATGAAAACACGTCACTCAGCGAAGTTCAGAAGTTGCACTATCTCAAGCTAAGTGTTATTAATGAAGCGAGTATATTACTCAAACATATCCAAGTCATAGAAGCTAATTACGACAAAGCATGGCAGATGCTTATTCATAGATATGATAATAAAAGACTTATTGTATCCTCCATGTTAACCCGTATGTTTAATCAACGAAAAATGCAATCCCAAACAGCACATCATATTAAATCGCTATTAGACATTAATATGGAGTGATTGAACAATCTTAAAAACTTACAAATCAAAGTTGACACCTGGGATCCCATGATCATATTTTTATTAGTACAAAAATTTGATTCGGAGTCTCACAAAGAGTGGGAAGAATATGTAAGTAAAACTCATGATAATGACTTGCCCACGTTTGCAACACTACAAAAGTTTCTTGAGACAAGATTTCGTACATTAGAACTAATTATACCCACTTCGTCGAAAGAGAGGTCTACTATTCGCTCATACCACGTTAGCACCACGTCCGAACGAAGTTGTCCCCTGTGTAACGACAACCACGGGCTTTGTTATTGCATTGAATTTGGAAAAATGGAACCAGCTGAACGTAGCGTATTTGTGAAAGACAATTCTATCTGTTTTAATTGTCTGGTTCCTGGACATGCGGTCAAAACATGTAGATTATGAACATCGTGTAGAATTTGTAAAAAACGACTTCATACTCTGCTACATGAATTACGTCCTACGAGAAATGTTGGTGGCTCATCACAAGACATAGAATAGCCCCACATAATGCTTTCCAATGTAGAAGAGATAGAGGACATACAAGTCAACACAATAATGACGTCACGTAAACAGAACAACTTTATTAGTTACAGCAGTAGTAATTGTCAAAAATCAAGAAGGACATTCCACCGTGCTTAAAGCTTTGATTGATCCGGGATCACAAGGTTGTTTAATTACGGAAAAAGCGGTACAGCTACTGAAGTGTAGGAGATATCCAATAAAAGGAACAATATTTGGAGTGGGGTCTACATCATCAAGGGTTAAGCACGTTGTTCAAGTCGAGGTACTATCCAAATATGAAACTGAAAGTAATCTCAAGATAAAAGCATATGTAATATCCAAGCCCTTGACAGGGCAGATACCCACCCACATAATATCATCCCTCAGTTGGCCGCATCTAGAAGAACTCAGCCTGGCCGATTCAGAGTACCATAGGCCAGGCTCTATTGACTTGCTTCTTGGAGTCGATGAATATGCCAAGATCCTTCAAAATGACGTCATCAAAGGTCCGCCTGGTTCTCCGTGTGCCCAAAAGACTTCACTAGGCTGGATTTTATTTGGTAAAGTTTACAGTGACACAACTCCAGAGCGGTCAATTATAGTGATGCATCAGACTATTGCGATAAATGACATGCTTAAAGTTTTGTGGGAACAAGACATAGATAATAAAAGAAAATTTACAGAAGAAGAAGAAACCTGTGAAAAGATATATAAAGACACACACATAAGAAACGATCATGGAAGATATGTAGTGAACTTACCACTTAAAGTTGATCCTCCACGAGCTGCAGAAGGAGACACCAGAAGTATAGCTCTGAAAAGGTTGCTGCAATTGAAACAAAAATTAGATAAAAACAAAGGTCTAAAAGAGTCTTACAATCATGTAATTAATGAATATATGGAGCTAGGACACATAGAAGAAGTACCAGATAGTGAGCGTAATAATTATGCTGTATACCTACCTCATCATGCCGTTGTTCACGAAGACAAGGAGACAATAAAGGTGCGTGTTGTTTTTGATGCATCCAGTAAAGATTATATTGGCGTCAGTTTGAATGACGACTTGATGACTGGTCCATTACTTCAAGACGACGACGTTGAAAATCGGCGTGTTTTTTGTTTGTGTTGTTACCAAGACGAGTTAATCAAAGAATATAGACTTCTCACCGTTACGTTTGGAACTGCGTCAGCACCCTATTTAGCCGTAAAAACGCTGATACAAATCGCAGAGGATGAAGGCAAACTTTACCCTATGGCATCAAAAATACTAAAGGAAGATCTGTATGTAGATGACATCATGTCTGGATTTGACTCGGTTGAAGAAGCTATTGAAGCTGGCAAGCAATTACAAGACATTCTACAAAAGGGCTGGATGAATTTACAAAAATGGTCATCTAACAATTTGGAATTCTTAAAATCTATCAATCCTTAACGAGTATCAACGAATGCAAAAATTGATATATCAATCGATGGTATTGTAAAGGATCTCGGCTTAACATGGAATCTAAAAGAAGATAATTTTCAGTATACCTTGAATTTGCCACCTATTCCAAGGAACATCACCAAAAGAACGATTTTGGCCGATCTACAACGACTTTTTGATCCATTAGGCTGGTTAGCACCTTTTTTTTTTTTTTTTTCTTTTTTTTTTTTTTTTTTTTTCCGTGCGGAAATCCCCTCGGATACCACCTGTCGGTGGCATGTCGGACTCGAACCGACTAAAACCGCACGCCTTCGCCGGGTACTAATAGCCGGGGAACCAGGTATACCCTAGAAAGGAAGGCCCTGGTGCCCCGACATACCTCGGGTCATCTACAGACGAGTAGACGACCCCCGCCCCGTGTGGGAACCCCATGTTCCCTATGCTCCCTGGAAGCGAGCGCGCTTCGCAACGCGCTCGCCGCCACCCCGGCCTGCTTCTGCTAGGGTGACAGATGGCCTCACCTGTCACCCCCAGGCCTGCGCTTATGGAGGACGGAGGTCGTTCTGCGACCTCCGGCGCCTGAGTCGCCTGCGCTGCCTGGCCCGTGCCCGGGCCTGGCGGGCCGGGAGAGTTCTAAACCTCTCCCGGTCCCGCTCCGCCGTCTCCTTCGCGAGCATAACTTGCTCGCAGAAGGAGACGGCAGAGTTCCACGCACTCTCCAGCCTGTTATTATCATGCCCAAAATATTAATCCAACGACTATGGTTAGAAGGAGTTTTTTTTTGTCTTTAATTTTTTGAAAATGAACCATCAATATGGAGGTCGATGCCCTTTTTGTTGCAAATGAATTGATTAGTTACACGAGATTGTTGACATGGTGGTTACTCCTCCCCTCGTACATATCTACTTTTACTAAACATTACTACTTTTTATACTCTTACAGCTTATCTTACCTGTTTTTTTTATTATTATTTTTTTGGTTTATACAATGCTCCAAGGATATTCAATATCCATGTCACATTTACTTATTTTTTTATTTTTTTTCCTTTGTTAAACATGCATTTTAGGACTACACTTTCTACTTGTTATAATTATTCTAAGCCTTATACATAATTTGTTCAAATTGGCTTTTTGTGTATGTGCCATTCCTATATACTCATATATATATAATGTACATATTTTTCTTATATTGCTACGTTTTATTTCTTTCTTCCCACCTCCCAGCTTCCTTGGCCACCCGCCGACAGTATGCCAAAAAGTCCTCTCTCAAATAGTCATTGCACATCCATTCTTTCAGTGTCTCAGTACTGACTTCCAGGTTGTGTTTTGACTCTAGATCATATCTGCTCTTTCAATTTTTAGGGCAGCTCGTTATGACATGGACGACAGTCTCCTCTGTCTGCGGGTCCCAAATACATGCTTCTTCGTACTTACACTTAAATTTATAAAGGTACGAGGAGAAACCACCATGTCCTGTTAAAAGAACAATGGCAGAAACATATTTACATAAAACTGAAGCGTTTAAAAAATTTACTAACAGTAAACTTACTAAATATTTTTTCCATGATTTATCATTACACCACCATGTGTTATATAAGTCTTATAAGAGATAGGATATTTTTGAAGATTTTATTTGACCTAAGTACGTAATGTCAGAATCGCCATCACGTATAACTGACTAGGGTTGCGTGATGACATTATTATATTATGGAACGTTTTATCGATAATCGATTGTTATAACTTTGGCTTAAATATCTATCGAAGCTTCACCTATTATGATTATGAATTTGCTTCTGCCCACGGGTTCACTCATACGCTACCGTAACTAGTACCGTAGTGACTAAATCAACCTAATTAAAAATAATTAAGAATATTTTTGACTCTTTTTATAAGATTTTTGATACACCAAAATAAATAGAATATAGTTACGTTATTTTCCTACAGAAAAATACTAAAACAATATACTGCTCAGTGTGATGAGAAAAAGACATTGTAGGTTGATACCGGCACATAAATAGACATATATACATCGATATTTTAAAATGTCGATACGTCGTCGTCGCCATTACTAGTCTTGTCGTTTGACACTTACACGCATGACTTACATACCATTTCTCACAAGGCAATTGTAGTTTGTTTGGTTGTTTTACTTTTGTTTAGTATTAAACTCTCATATATGTTTATTTTTATTTTTATTTCAAATAGTGTTACTCCATTATGCATGATGTGATGCCTTAAAATGTTGTGCATTAATCTCAATGTAATGGATGCATGCTTTAGATTTTAGTAAATAATGTCACAACTACTGACTGTCGAATAACTAAATAAAGAAATAAATGCTCACGCCTTTTGTAAATGTGTATTGAAGTACATTTATTCAAATTATTACTAATAATTTATTTATTTATAGCTAGTATTACACCTGCTATGTAAGCGAAGATTTTTTTCAATTGTTTACCAATACATGCCAAGCAAATACCCTTCCTTCCTTCACCCTTTTAGAGAGTAGGCTAACACTTACTACAGCAAAATAGGGTTGCTTATGAGTAATAATAATGATGAATAATATTTTCGAATATATGACACACAACGCCATCTAGTTTCAAACAAAACATTGACAATATTTTAGTACTTAACCTCGAAACATTCAAAATCCAATATCTTTTTTCCTAGACTTCTTTCGCTAATAATTTTTTTATGAGAATGTTCAAGAATAAATTCTCAAAGGTTATAGGCATTTTTGATATTTAAACGCTGTCATTTCACTTCAAATAAAATTATGTATGGGGACCTGCCATTGTCCTTTGTACAGTTAATGGATTAAGATGTATCTTTTTTATCATTTTATAAGACTCCACTATGCATGGCAGGAACAGTTTTGTCGTTCCCGCTGTGTCACCTATCGAGTACCTATTTTGCCATTCCTTAAGTGAGTTCGATCTAATTAATTGCTTGGCGTAAGATACTAGAAGACTTCCGTAATTTGCCCTTGTTTTCAGGCGGAGAGCCGCTTCCTTAGCCAGCTGGTCCGCTCTCTCGTTTCCGGAGATGCCCACATGAGCTTTTACCCAGTAGAGTGATACTCGAACGTCCTTCCGCGTCATTACCCTTATGGCTTCTCGTGTTCTATATGCGAGCGGGTGGAAACCAGTTGGATTGCATATTAGATCAAGGGCTGAACGCGAGTCGCTCAAAATTGTTATATCTTTGTACTTGGTCCCTCCGGCTACTTCGACAGCTCCTTTCAGCGCCAGGAGCTCCGCCTGAAAAACAGTATTATATTGCTCCAGTCTCAGTTTTAGTGTTCTGAACTCTTCGCCATTTCTCCAGCACCAGACCGCTGCGCCCACCCTTCCCTGTAACTTACTCCCGTTGGTGTATATGTAGAGGTGTTCGTTTTGGATGTCTAAATCCTTTTCGTCATTTAGACACCTGTACATGAGATCTATCTGTTCCGAGGGATGGGGGGCTTCCAAGAAGCTTATTCTTTTTTCGACCTCTCTGTCGGTTCGCAGGTCGCAGATGCTCTCTCCGCGCTTTGCGCGATACAGGGCTGCGGCCTCCCCCACCCGAAGATCCAGGGGCAGGAGTCCGGGCAGCAACAGGGCCGCGTTCAGCGACACCGTTCGATAGGATCGAACTATCTTCCTTGCGAAACTTCTTTGGACCGTGTCAAGTTGTTTTCTTATAGTTAATTTAGATGCCGCTGGGGCCCATACGCTAGCTCCATATAAAATGATTTGTTCTATGACAGCCACATAGATAGTCCTGATGATCTCCGAGCGCATACCCCAAGAGATTTCAGCTGCTCGAGCTAACTGCTTGTAAATATTAATCGATTTTTTGCAAATATGTGTTACATGGCTATTGAATGTGAATTTTCTGTCTAAAATCATTCCTAGAATTTTAACCTCGTTTACTGTTCCTAAATAGTTCCCCCCCATACGTAATTTTGGTTCGTCATATTTAAGTTTGTTTGTCATTATCGTTACCTTTGTTTTATGTGTTGCAAAATTTAATTTGTTTTCTTGTCCCCATTTGTAAATTTTTTCTAGTGCCGGATTTGCAGTTGTCTGAATCGATTCTGAAGTGGGCCCGAAGAACACCAGGACCACGTCGTCTTCGAAGGCCTGTACTTATATTCCTGTCGCCTCCAGCATGTCCAGCAAAGGGTCCAGCAGCAGATTCCAAAATAAAGGTCTAGCAATTGAACCCTGGATGCAGCCCTTATTAGTTGCCTTTTCATACTCCTCCCCGGCGTAGGCCAGACTAACCCGTCTATCCTGAAGGTAGCTATCGACCATTTTCCTAAGGTTACTCGGGCAGTTCTTCACCAATAGCTGTCTCTTAATTGCGGGTCACCAAGTGCTGTCGAAGGCTCCCCCTATGTCTAGTGATACCAGTGTTATGATTTCTTTATTTTTCAGTCTGTTTTTTATATGTTGAACTAGATCGAAGAGGGAGTCCTCCGTACTGCGCTGGGGCATGAAGCCATATTGTCTTTTATTGCCCTGGGGAAGTAAATGCCATTTCAGTCTCGAGACAAGCGTTTTTTCTAATAACTTTCCCATGATCGACAGCAAACCAATGGGTCTATAAGACTTCGCCTGTGAGTAATCAGTCTTGCCAGGTTTTCGCAGAACAATAACTGATGCAATTTTCCATATTTTGGGAAAGTATCCGAGGCGCAAGCATCCATTGGCTATGGCCAGGAATACACCGGTATCTGCCTCAATCGCTGCAGTAACTATATCCACAGTGAATCCATCAGGCCCTGGTGCTTTTTTTGGGTTGAATGTTCTGATGTTAAGTTTTTTTTCTGTGGCTGTAAATAGGTGATCATCAATACCCGTTGTGTTCTGGTCGTTTGGATTCACTTCTTCTCTAATTTTTGCATGTTCTTCAGTGTCTGTCTCGGGTTTATCTTCTGGGTAAAAGGTGTTAGCCAACAACCGCACCGATTCCTCCGGAGTAAGGATTTTGCTGTCGTGCACGAGTGCTTCGTCCTGTTGCCATTTTCTGGTTCTATTTATGACCCGGTATATTCCGTCGTACATGCTTTCTCTGTCTTGTTTGGTCCAAAAACTCATACTTTCCTTTCGCTGTCAAGTACTCCTCTATGACGCTGTTTTTCCTCTTGTCCGAAGCGTTCCTAATTCCTTTCCTTCTTGAGCTGCTCGAGTTCTTCCGACCACCAATTTTTTTTTATTTTGTCCGCCTTAACCTTCTTTTTTTGTAAATGTGAATTACAGAATTTTGTAATGGCACTTGTATAATTGACCACTACTTCTTCTAGTTTGTCTATTTTGCTTATTTTTTCGATGTTTTCCCTAGTTATTTCTGCCTTTGTGAGTTCTTCCTTCAAGTCTTTTTTGAATTCTGCCCAATTTACCTTTTTAGTGTTATACTTCCTAGTTGTTTTTCTTAACTTTTTGTCTAATTGTTCCTCTAATTGTACAGTAAATAGTATCGCGTTGTGGTCCGAACTCGAGATGCTCCTATCTACTTCTTACCGTGACGTCCACCCTACTCCTGTATTCTTTACCCCCCCCCCCCGAATGGAATGGTCTCGAAAGTGGGTACGTCGCCTGTGTTAAGTACCTGTAAGTCTAGTTCCTCCAAGAAGGTGGCGAGCTCTGCTCCTCTGTGGTTCTCTCTGTCGCTTCCCTACCATGTCCTCCGTGCATTGACGTCGCCTCCTATTAAAAGGACTCTGTACTCGCTTTCTGGAATATCTCCAACGAGTTGGCTATTTTGACGGTTTATAGCCGCGGTGATATCGTCGTCCGTATTGTAGGCTAGAAGATCCCTCACCATCAGTAACGGGTCTTTATTGGTGGCTTTTTGCGCTTGGAGTTCTTTGTTAGATCCTATCCTGGCCACTACTTTCTGGATATTTTCTTCTGAGTCGCAGCTTATTACCACTTTACTGCTTTTAGCTTTCCTTATTTTGTCAATTTTTACGTCGCCGTCTTTTGCGACTACTGTTTTTCTAATTTTTTCCAGTACATCTTCGCTGGTGTCTTTTTCCTCCGTGGAGGTTACTATAATTGTGTGGCTCGGCTTGGATGGCGAGTTTATGTTTGTCCGTACTTTTGTAACTTTAGTAACTTTTGCGTACGTTGCTAATTTTGCCCGTCTCAGGTCATCGCGAAGCTCCGAATGGACCTTTGTCAAGTCTTCTATGCGCTGGTTTATACTCTCCAATTTGGAGTTGGTTTCTTCTGTCAAACGCGTCTGTTTGTCGAACTACTCTCTTAGGTTGACTCTTAGGTTGACCTCTGATGATGATGCTGGAGATGCTGGAGAAGGGGACAGCTTAGAGGTGGCCTGCTCTTTAAGTCGACCGTCGAGCGTCTGGACCAGGTCGAACAGGCCCTGCAAGCTCTTTATGACCTGTGCTTTAATGGTGGCTTTCAGGTTGCCTGAAAGATCCATCTGGTATTTGGCTTCGCTCAGGAGCTTCTTTGCAGTCACCGTGTGTGTAGCTGTGTCCTTCTTGGCAGTCTCTGGACCTTCGCTCAAGCGCTTTTTTGCAGTCGCCCTGTGTGTAGCTGTGTCTTTCCCAACAGTCTCTGAACCTTCGCTCAAGAGCTTTTTTGCAGTTTTGCAGAAAGTATGAAAGAATCACAAAAAGAAAATGTGAATAATAGAGATAATAGTAAATTAAAAGCTCTTTCAAGAGCCTGTCAACAGGCTGTATAGATAAAGAAAATTAAGAAAATTAAACTAAGACTAGAGCCCCAATAAGGGTACTGGAGTCAAAATAATATATGTAGAGCGGTTTATTACAATTAAATATGCGTATGGCTCTGTATAATATAACAAAAACAAAAGTAACAAAAAAACCAAAAGTAACGCTAGAATTAAAATAAATGAGTATGGCTCAGCCTTTGAAATTGGAAGGGGAGTGAAACAGGGCGACCCCTTACCTCCAAAACTCTTCATTGCAGTACTCGAAGAAATATTCAGAACACTTGACTGGGAAGATGGAGGGATAAACATATATGTCAACCGCCTCTCGCACTTGCGATTCGCGGATGACATAGTACTGCTCTCAGAAGACCCAAAAGAAATGGAATTCATGATACAGTCACTAAGCAAAGAAAGCAGAAAAGTAGGTCTAGAAATTAACTGGGAAAAAACTAAATTAATGACAAATAAGCAAACCATAATTATAAAGTCAGACACAACACAAATCGAATACCGAAGACGCCGAAGAATATATTTATTTGGGACATTTACTATCCTTCAAGTCATGCAATTATAAAGAAGTAGAGCGAAGAATCAAAATAACCTGGAACTAAAACCTGAAAACTAAAGCTATGCAGACATGTTTAGTACCCTGTCTCACTTACGCTTCCCAAACATGGCCTTTGTCAACAAAACAGACTCATAAGGTCAAAGTGTGCCAAAATAGCATGGAAAGGAGTCTCCTGGGCTTTAAGCTAAGCGATAAAGTGAGAAATGAAGATGTCAGGAAAATTACCAAGGTAAAAGACATAGTAAAAACCATAATGACCCAGAAATGGAAATGGGCTGGGCATGTCCAAAGATCACCAGGGAACAAATGGTCCACAATTGTCACTAATTGGGACCCTATTCGGTACCCTAGACGGAAAGGAAGGCCATTCAAAAGATAGAGTGATGACATAGTTTCCACGGTGGGAAATACCTTTAGCAGACTGGCAAGAGACAAAGCGAAATGGAAGGAAATGGAGGAGGCTTTCACCGCCAAGCGGTCCTTACAACAAAACACGTTAACGTAGTTTAATAACATATACTAACAAACTAGAATATGTATAATACTAACACTACAAATAATGTTTAGTATGTAATGTAAACTATGTGTAAGGAATAAATAAAGCTTTTTATATTTTATTTATATTAGTATGGCTCTGTATAAGAGATGTCTTAACTCCTAAGTAAAAATAAAACAAAAAATTTAAAATACAAAAAGAAAAAAAAAATTTTTGACTCTATGTAGAGTCTATCTGTCAATATAACAATGTAGCGCTCGTCAAGCCTTTTTCATAGACACTTCGCACGGTGTCGTACTGTTAGATTGGACAGTCCGGCACTTTAAAAAAAAACACCGCTGACTATCACAATTATTTATTTTATAACTCTACACAACTTTTGGCAACTTAATATAGACACAAACTTATATAACACCACTTAACACGGATTATACTCGTTTTTATTGGCCCCAGCGAAGGGCAGAATAGACCCGGAGTATATTATTGCTCTAGAATTCCTTGCTGAAAACCAACCAAGGTTGGGGAGTAGCTAGAGACCACAAATTATATCAGCACTAGAGAATAATAACTAACTAATTTAAGAAAAGGATTGGTATTTATAATCTATTTATTGCTGATCTGCAATGTTGAATTTACGTCATTTTGCTATTATTGCAAGTCAGCAATATTGTATTGCATACCTATGCAATATCATCAAAATTAGGGATGTAACACCCGCCTTTAAAACGAAACATCCGGAAATAGAAAAGGATGTGAGTATAATCCATGTAAGATAAAATTAAGATTAGAAATTGAGTTTACAAACTTTTCTTAAATTATATTATATAGTTAGATTATCATAAAAATTAGAAATAGTAAACAATACAAAATGAATTTAAAGAACCCAGAATTAAATTAAACATATTATCAAAATAAAAATAGAACCTATAGATTAAATTATTACAATAACTCAAGATGACGTCTTGGAGTACTTACATTAGAATCAGTACTTTCTGTATCATATTCACGATTGGCCAGTTCAATGCTAGTTCTTGTGCGGATATTAGTGCTAGGTTTAGTCATACAATTATTAAAAATTTTGACACAACAAGAAGTACTGTTTCTATGTTTATTACAACAAACACATTTATATAGTTTATAAGAGAAATAGGAGAATACAGAGACAGACAGTATGGTAGTAATAATGGTAAAAAAATTGTAACTATAACTAATATGATATTGTTGAGTTTCAATTTTGGTCAAATCGTCATTGATTTGATTTAATCGGTGAGAAGCGTATTTAATGAATCTAAATTTACATGTGTTAATTTGATAGAGCTCAGATGTGGTAAAGTATTATTTAATTTAACTTTAGAGCAGCAATCATCTTCTATAATATTAAAATGAAGTTTTTAAGTTTTTGCCATATATCTATTTCACCTACAATAAGCTTAAAATTACAAGAGTCTGGGATACCTTTTACATGTTCGGTTAAGACCGTCACTTCACAATTTGGATTTCCGACACTTGATTGTATATTACCTAATTTGCACAAATAATAATTGTTATTTATCACTTTGCACTCACTTAAGTCTTCTAACACGGAATAAATTAATTTATCTTGTGTCACTGCCAGGAATTTTGCGGTTGGATTAATTAAAGCGAAAGTATTAGGATTATTGATATCATGAGGAGTTGGTAAAGCGTATACGTGGTACAAGTTGTATTCTACAAAGGATACTAGAGGAATTCTGATTACAAAAATAAATTTACTGTCGCTAATGAAAGAAGATATTTCTGCGAATTAGAATTTCTAGAATTGCGTGAATGTTACTAGGAGTCAAATGTAAAGGTAGGCTTAAAATAACATCGTTACTTTCCGAATTCAATTCATTGTACAATCGCAACGGACTTAATACAGAAGGATGAACAATATTTTGTTTACCGAATAAAATAGCATCAATAAGGTCTTCTAAATTAAAATTAAGAATCATTAAAGAACTTTCTAAAGCGCTGAAGGTCATTGATAAATGAGAAATGTTTTCCAACTTATTGGTGTTTGTTGAGACAGTGTCTAAAATTTTATCAAGATTTTGTATATTATTGTTTAGAACATATTCGTTTTCGTTAAGTTTACTAATTGTACTATTGAATGATGAAACAGAAGAGGTCATGATATGTATATTTTCTTTCATGATTGTAGCTAAATGTCTTTGATCGTCTTGGACTGCATTAATGGCGTCTGTAAAGGCCTTAGCGTCATCTTCATCAAGTGAACCAAAGAGTTGTTTTAATATTGGTCCACCTATACCAAACCAAGCAGACCTTTTAGTTTTGCCTTTATTATCGGTACTAGGTAAATGGGATAGGGACATATAATTGTTCTGTACTTTTATAAATAGGCTTTCCAAAGGACTTAAAATATTCCAACAATCAGTTTTAACCTTAGTAGATTGGTGTGTATTACAAATATGTTTGTACGTTTCTAAAATTCTTTGAAAAGTGTCTATATGAGGTTTTACATAGGATAAATCAGAAAAAGTTACTATGTTCCAATAATTATTATAATATTTTAAAACACCCATCGGATCATAAAAGAGACCTGGACTATTTACTATAGGCGTCGTCATGTTTGATCTTGCAAGGGATCCTGGCGCGATGGCCCTGGAAGAGAATCATTAAAAGCTAATTTAATTTCGTCTAAATGATATCTAACATGTCTACGATTGATTAAAAGAGTGACATTATTATTGCTATGTACTTTAATTATTTTATATGGACCTTTCCAGATACTAGAAAGAGCTTTACGCAGCCTGTGATGGTGCTTCACATACACCATATCCCCAACCTTATAAGAAATGTCTCTAGTGTTTTTATAATAATATTTTTTTGAAGTTTCTTTACTACGGAGGATATTTTCTCGGGCTATATTTCTGGTATTGATTAGCTTTTGTTTTAGCGTTTTAACATAATCAGGATTGGTAGCTGTTGGATCAATATCGTAAATAGAACTAGGTAGATGAGGCTTACAACCAAACAACAACTCGTGAGGTGTGAAATTAGTAAAAGAATGTACAGAAGAATTGTAAGAAATAATAGCTGTTGGAAGATATTTGTGCCAATATATACTATACAATATAGATATACTGTAGCGGTGTACAATAAAGATGTATAAATAAATAAATAATATAAATGTAGCTGCAGACAAGTTTATTCCATACGTAAAAGTCAATTTGAACCCAACTAGTAAATTTTCCCCTAAGCCATTCTGGATTTCTAACCTGTCGCAGTCTGTTGCCAAACGCAGATTAGCCTTATCACAGTTTAGGAAAAATCCTACTCCGGCGAATCTGACAACGCTTAATAAATGCATTAGACAGCGGCGTGCACAGGATTATGACACTAGGTAGGCGGCGGAGTAGGAAAACAATATAATTTAATCGTGTGTACACAACCACACAGCCATAGCAGCGGCTTGCACAGGATTATGACCCTAGGTATGCGGCGGAGTAGGAAAATAATATAATTTAATCGTGTGTACACAACCACAAAGCCATAGGTACGTTTCATAACTTTTAACATGAAACTTGCTAGTTACATTTCCTTTTTGCTGGTTTAATTGTTGTAACTCGGGTGCCTACAAGGAGCGCACGCAACTGCTATAGCTTATAGACAATACGCCATTTCTTTTGGCCGGAA